TAATATTGATTTATTTTAATTTATATATAAAAAGCGTTAGTAAATTAAAGTGAATATATTTTAAATTATTTGGTTTGTGTTAAAAATTAACTAATTTAAAATTAACAGTTAAATTGAGAGTTATTAACTTGTTAACTTAACTTTAACTAATTAATTGGTTATTACTCAACCCTGGTTTATATATCATATATGCGCGTAATATTCCTCGAATATTATATGAATATTATTCAATATTAAAATAATATTCTTATAACATTTTAAGAATGTTATAGTATTTTTTAATATTATAGAAATGTTCTATTGATGTTATATGTCCACTTCACATGATATTTTTGGCATATTATAAAAATGTTCCTATATTATTAGAATATTATTAGAATATTACATCTAATATTCTAAAAATATACCCGGAATATTACTTAGTATTAAATAATATTACGCGCTTATAGGGATCATTATGTTATATCAAAAAATTTCTTTACCGTAAATAAAGATTATTATTACTATCATCGTTTTCTAACAAATATCAGGTTAAAAGTACCGTATATAGGAATCCTGCTAAACTCAAGGTACGTAAAGCTCGCCGTAATGCAGTTTCCGTTTGTTGTGATAAGATAAGGTGCGTTCGGCCCGGATATTCGCGACGTGCACGACGTTACACGCGCATTGCGTATTATAATGCATCCGAGAGGAAAATTGAACGATCTCCGCTGTGAAAGAGAGAGACGCAACACGAAGTTTGCGGCGCGAACCATTAAGGTTGCGTTCCGAAACCCTACTTGGCAGATAAAGTAGCATTTAATTAACCAATCATAGGCAGGTTCCATTTAACGCTCGTAACTATTGCGAGCATTCTGACTTCGTTTAACATTCAAGAAAAACAATGATAAAATGATACTCGTGATCGTTGCGAGCGTTAAGTGGAATGCATCCCATGATAAAAAAATCCTTGCTCTCTTTGTCCCGATTGGTCAATCAAATGCTACTCTACCTATCGAGTAGGATTTCGAAACACAATCTAATGTATAAAGCCCGTATCAGACTGCGGATTGAAGATTGAGATTGAATTGAAATTTGAACGATCAGTGTGGAATTCAGTAGATTTCACTAAACTTGAGTTTCAGTGAATTTTGCACCGATTGGCTGAATCTAGTTCAATCTCAATCCCCAATTGGTAGACTGATACGAATTTAACGAGAAATCGACTTCCCGCGTGGCCCCCGTCGGATGCTCTTCGGAACACGCGGTGTGTATATCGCGCGCGCGCGTCTCCGTTTCCCGTTGAGTGTTATGATGCGCCAAAACGGTATCGGGTGTAACGGCTTGTTCGACTTGTGGAAGTTTCATTATTTTTCAAGCTACGTGGAGTATCTGCGTGAACGGAGGTCGATTGATCGGAACGTAAGTCGCACGGCGAGCGCCGTTTCGGGCGGGATGCGGTCGCGTTTAATTCATCGAGACCCGAAGATGAAACATACGCCACGCTTTTCCGCGTCGTTCATCCCGCTCGACCATACTTTTTCGATTATTACCTGTCATATGATGTACGAACAGAGAGAGAATTTAACTGCCCGAACTGTGTGTGAGCTAATCGAGCGGGTGTAGGCGACTCTTTTAAGTTGATCCTCGGGATATTGTGCTCCACAGGTCTCTCGCAATGGTATTCACCGAGGGTGAAGAGGTACTCGCTAGGTATCCGAATACCTCCGAGTATTACAAAGGGAAGATTGTACATGTCAGAGGTGAAGAGTACAAAGTGAAATTTGAGACTGGTGTCCAGCATACGGTCGGAGAAATGGACATAAAGGTAAGAGAAATGGGCATAAAGTTAAAGCAGGAAGCTTTATATTTTGGCGTAACGTAATTATTCATGCATTAGTATGACATAAGATAACAAATTAATCAGTGTTCTCTGTTTCTATCCTCAGGATGGAAACAAATGATTCTGATTGGTTAGCCTTCTTATGTGTCATGCATTATACACTATGCTGAAGTGTGTGCTTCCTGCTTTATTGTTGGCTCTGGATAGACAGAGATGTTATGCAAGATTATACACTCGATAAGCTTGTAGAGTGAATTTAAAAGATTATCGAGATGATTTGTTTTCATTGTTCACTGTAATACATATGTCATAATATGTTGTTTGTAACTTTTAAGCCTGAAAGAAGAGGGAGGACTCCAACCAGAGCGAGTAGCAGGATAGCCAGGAAGAGTCCGATTAGATATTCTCCCAGCAGGAGGTCTCCGAGCAGACGATCACCTGCCAGACAGTCCGTGCAAACACCGACTAAGAAATTGTCTGTTCGTAGTACACGCCTCGCCAAAGTATCTTTGTCACGTATAGACGTCGAAAGTGGTGAGTGTATTTATTGTCTACCGGGCAGCAACCATATATAACTTTTCTTTTACAGGAGCGGAGATGCGAAAAGTAAAAAATATCGCGTAAAAAGTTAGATATATTCATTGTTCGAGAAGTTTAAGGCCTTAAGCGGGATCTACAGTGAGAATTTAAGATGCAAGATTTGAGAAATTGACCAATCACAGCTGAATTGTAGAAGAAAAATCAATTACGATTGGTCAATTTCTTAAATCTTTAAATTCTTATTGTAGATCTCGCTTTAGTAAAATGATTAACTTTTTCCTTAAACTAAAAAGACGTTCTCTGTTTGTGGTTGATGTGACAAACTGTACAATAAAAAATAGTAAAAGAAAAACGATAATTTTTAGACAAAGTGTAGCAACATAAGATATCGTGTTAAAAGTACAAGTCAGCTATTTTGCTAACGCTTTTACATGATTGTCGAAGTCGTGGGGTTTGCGTGAATCTTTTCATTCGTCACGTTTTCGCTGTTAGAGAAAAGTTACATGATCGCTTAAGCGGGGTCTACAAAAGGAATTTAAGGTGTAAGACTTAAAAAATTGACCAATCACAATCGAATTATAGGAGAAAAATAAATTATGATTGGTCAATTTCTTAAATCTTACGTCTTAAATTCTCATTATAAACTCTACTTTATTGTCTATGTATTAAATATATATCGGGACTATACGGAAGGTATTTTTTACTTAGACAATGTAAACAATCACAAAGAAGGGAACGAGGTTGACAAAAATTCGAAGAGAGTCGAAGCGATGCCTCTGCAGCAGCGTTTAAACGAGATCAACATGTTGACGCGTAGATCAACGCGAATGTCGAGCATGTCGAAGATCGAGAAGGAGCGCACACCGATTGTATTGGTCAGAGAAATCGACAGAGCCGCTTCGCTTCCGATCGAGAAGAGAAGTTATTTGATCGATTATTCCTCGGGTGAAAGAGGAAGGGGATATTCTATGCAAAGAGATAAGGTAATTTTCTCTTCGGCAAATAACGTAACATCGATATGTTAGACTTATTTTTCGTTAATAAAGTGGGGTCTATAATGAGAATTTAAGGCGTAAGATTTAAGAAATTGACCAATCATAATTGATTCTTCTTCTATAACTCAATTGTGATTGGTCAGTTTCTTATGGCTTAGAGCTTAAATTCTCATTGTAGACCCTGCTTCAGTATTGCACGTAATACTCCGTTCACGATAGATAGAACAGCTTATGAAACATCACTGATGGTCACAGTTTCAGGATCTAACGAGACTCCCGCCAGCGCAGGAAAGTGAGAAACGGGAAGCCTCGATAGCGGAGAATCGCGAGAAAGGCATAATTAGGATCGACCAGCCGCAAGAATGGGGCGGTTGGATCGGGACGTCTCTCCTGACGTTTTTATTGCCGTTATCCATGATCCTGCCGCAGCTTCTGTGCTTGAAGGGACGATGCCGATCCTACCTTGACGTGCAATTCACCACCGACTGGAGGTCTTATATAAATTGGCAGGGGTTCTTAGTTTACGTTGTATATTTGACGGTACTGGCTTGTGTTTCGATTCTGCCGATCGGAAGGAACGTGGATGGACAACAGAGTAAAACTGGGAAATTGCAATATCGCATAAATGGTACTGTATACTGTATGTTCTTCAATTTTAGGATCCGACTTTTAATCAGGGTTGGATAACAATTAGTTACTTCGTTAAAAGTTAAGTTAATCCTTAGAAGCACGGTGGAGAGTATACTTCCCATCTTTTTTCTTTCAAATTTTTGTCGATAAAATTTTTATTGCTATATTTAGACTGTTTTTTTTTATTTTTCTAGTATTTTAGGGATAGGCGAATGTAAAAAAAATTGTCAAAATACATATTTTATTAACTGCAAAAGTGACATAAATAACCAAATTAAGAAAAAATGGCCCTTTTTTCAAAGGAAATACATTTTCCAGCGATTTTTCCAAAATTTAGATGTTAAAACTTATAAATAGGGTTTTTTGAGATCGTCGATTACGAATCTGGTCAGAATTAGAGGATTTTCAAAATCCAAAATGGCGAACTGAAATTGCAGCAAATCAATCAATTCTTTTCAAATGTGGTATGTAGAGGGTTTTTGGTTCGCTGATTACGAATCTGGGGTCGAAATTGAAAAATTACACAATTCGAAATGTTAAATACAAAATAGTGGATCAAACATGCAAAAACTCAGTGTCTATGGTTTTCAAAGCTTCCGAGTATAAATTATGAAATGTGATATTGTGAAAACGTATTAAAAAGATTGAAATGATTTAATCTATAACATAGACAAAATTTTGCTTTTACCAAATTTGAAGTGGTTCAGTTGATTCGCTGCAATTGCGCTTCTCCATATTGGATTCGCCGTCTTAAATTAAAAAAATTTTTCAATTTTAACCTCAGGTTCATAATGATCGATCTCATAAAACCTCTGAGTACCAAATTTTATGAAAAATAAGTAAAAAAATGTGCGCTTCAAAGAGTTGAAAAATCAATAATTTTTAACTGAACTGGTTAATTTTGAGTAAGTTTCAACTTAAACTAGTTAATTTGAAATTTGAAAAGTTAATTTGAAATATATATACTTGATATAACTTATTAACTTTTTTTTTGTATAAGTTAAAATGATTCAATATTAAAATTATTGCGGGCTGTTTACGATATAAAATAAGAAAAATAAAAAATAGTGCTGGCAGAATTCTTTGTCTCTTTGAGCGCTGCTGTTTTCTCTTATATGGAATTCTAAGCTCAAAATAGTCGGTTTCTTATAATAGACTACCTTTTTCTTATTGAGTTTATTTTTTCTTATTGAATTTAATCTACAATTAAAATGCTTATTCAGAAAACATATATATGTATATACGGGGGCGGTCTGATAAGTACCTAGCCTACAAAAGAAAAACGAAAATTTTGGAAAAGTGGCGATTTATTTTTCAACATGTCTCCTTTTAGCTCGATACACTTGACCCAGCGATGCTCCAACTTCTTTAACCCATCAGAAAAATACGTTTTCTCGAAGTCTGCAAAGGCCTTCGTGGCGGCGATGACCTCCTTATTCGACTCAAATTTCTGCCCGGCGAGTGACTTTTTCAAGTTTGGAAACAAAAAAAAGTCGCACGGGGCCAAATCTGGAGAATACGGTGGATGGGGCAGCAGTTCGTAGTCCAATTCGACCAATTTGGCCGAATGAGGAGGTCATCGCTGCCACGGAGGCCTACTTTGCAGACTTCGAGAAAACGTATTTTTCAGGTGGGTTAAAGAAGTTGGAGCATCGCTGGGTCAAGTGTATCGAGCTAAAAGGAGACTATGTTAAGAAATAAATCGCCACTTTTCCAAGATTTTCGTTTTTCTTTTGTAGGCTAAGTACTTATCGGACTGCCCTCGTATATACACACATATAGTTTTGCATAATTTTAATTTTAATAAGTTAATTTTAACTTGATATTTAATTTAATCAATTTTTGCTTAACTTTTAACTTAGTTAAAAATAAGAATTACCTTATCCAACCCTGCTTTCGATTATACTTCTTCGATTATATTACACACTTTTAAGACTCTTGAGTAGTCGTTGCAACTATTTTTATTTGATAACGTAAGAATCGAGAAAATGCAAATCAAGAATTCTTGTGTTTTACGTTAAAATTAAAAGATATATTTATAAAATGACATTTGATCGATTTAGTATACTTGTAAAATTGTCCGTGCACTTTTCTTTTACGAACAATTCGAACAATCAATAAACAGCCGCAAAATTAAATTGACAAGGAACTATTCATTTTAACTTATTTTCTCATGATTTTGTCAATGTTAAATTTACTATTTATTGCTTGTTCGTAAAAGAAAAGTGCACGGACTATTTTACAAGTGTACTGAATCGATCACTAATGTCATTTTGTGTGTATATCTTTTTATTTGAACGTAAAACACAAGAATTCTTGACATACGTTTTCTTGTTTCTGACGTTATCAAACAAGGACAGTTGCAGCGACTACTCAGGAGGCTTAATACTAACATTTCTTTGGGCATTTTTCAGGATTTTTAAGCGCTACACTGGCAATAGCCTTATTTGGTTTATGTATAAATAAGGATATCCCAATCTCCGATTACATCCTAAACAATTCCGTTCAATTGGTAATAAGTGGCTGGCTTATCGGAACGATTTTAGCACTGGGGTTGTACATTAAGGCGGAGAGAGCTTCGGTGGTTAGTCTGAATATATACGCGTCGACTAACAGTAGAATGTATAACTTCTGGCAAGGCAGAGAGATCAATCCCCGAGTTGGTGTTTTAGACATTAAACTGCTGCTGATACGTGCTTCACTCATAGGCATGGTAATTTGTTATTTTATACATTGATTTCCGTATCTAGCAAAATTGATATTAAAATCAGGGACCCCGGACCGGACCAGAACCGAAACCGCAAACCGTATAGAAACCGGTATTTTTGTCGGACCGGAACTGTAAACCGTAACGAAATTTCATAAAGTCTATAGAACCGGAACCGAAATTGGAACCGTTACATTTTTTTCGGTTTGCGGTTCCTTTCGGCTCACTATTTCGGTTCTTATTCTGTGATTTTAAATAATCGTTTCTTTCATTTCATAATAAAATTCTACTTCTCACGAAAAAGCAGAACATTGATTAGTTATTGCGAAATGGAAAATAAATTTCAAGCATGCGATATTCAACAGAAGAGGATTAATAGAAGAAGTAATATATTACAATTTTGAGGTAAATAGAAAAACAATCAATTGTGAATTGTACAAATTACTCTAACAGAACATGTATATTCTGAGAAAGTTCGGAAAATATCTCGATATTCTCCGAATATTCTCATAATCTACAGAATTTACGTGTTCCGTTAGGCAGAGGTTACAAATAACGAGGATGATATATATCCAAACAAGTTAAGAGCAGAAGATGGAAATAGTGAAGAAATGCCATCTACATTGAGGAAATGATATTATTATTGTTTATTATATATATATATATAATTATATATATAATTATACTTAAATTGTGCATATATATATATATATATATATATATATATATATANTATATATATATATGCACAATTTAAGTCAATAAAAATTTCAGTAAGGAAACAAGTTTAAAGAACCGGAACTGAAAAAATTGTAATTTAAACGGTTTACCGGTACTTTCATTGTCTAGTAAACCGAAACCGAAATCGGAACTTTTATTAAATATTTTAGTGGACCGGAACTAGAACCGGACCGATATTTTCATTCGGTCCGTATCCCTGATTAAAATTCTCGGTTTACGATTATATTTATTTCCTTCATATCTTGTAGTTGATCGTGAACGTGGCTGTTGCTGTTAAAGCTATCGGTGACGTGAAGAGTCCGAATGTCCAACAATTCGACGTATCTACGTTGTTAGCGATCTCCTTGCAGCTTTTCTACATTATAGACGGATTGATATACGAAGCCACTATCTTTACGTCTTTTACGGTAATGTATGAGGGTACTGGATACATGACCTGCGTCAGCCATTTGCTGTATCCATTCTTGCCGACTCTCACGACGAAATTTATGTTGTATCAAAAGTAAGCATATATCTGTCTACATATGCCTGTGTACATATATAGGGTGACCTACGTAAAGTGCTACAACCCACAAACTTCAAAAATATTTGACATAGCAAGGAGTTGTTCATGAGAAAATTTCATTTATTCGAGGGGTCTTTTTAAATGTATAAACTAAAATTTTCCCTCGCTCCCTCTTGAAGGGAGGAAAGAGGAGGAGTAACTTTGTAATTTCAAATGGAACCTCCTATAAAATGTTACATATTTGGATTCTACGAGAAAAAAACAAGTGAACTTTATCTGGAACACTGTTTTGAAAAATGTTTCATTGCTTCATGCTTTTATTTAATTTATAATTTATGGTTTTATCATTAGTTTTAATGTACTCTACTTTAAAATTTTAATGTTTATAACTTTTAACAGAATCATTTTTTTAAAGAAATTTTCCAGATAAAATTTACTTGTTTGTTTCCCATAGAATCCAAATATGTAACATTTTATAAGAGGTTCCACTTGAAATTACGAAGTTATCCCCTCTTCCCTTCAAGAGGGAACGGGGAAGAATTTTTGTTTATATGGTTAGAAAGACCCCTCAAATACATGAAACTTTCTCATGAACAACTTTTTGATACGACAAATATTTTTCGAGTTTTTAGATTATAATACTTTACGCGTGAGCCACCCTGTATATTTATTGTAAGCTTCGATAAATCTTAATCGCTATTTCACGCATTTTTAGAACACAATTTAATTACTACACGGGCATATTCGTTTTGATCTTCATAGTAGGATACATTTTATACAGAAGTAGCAATTCACGGAAGGATGAGTTTAGGAAAAATCCTGTTTCGCCGACGATGCCTTGTAAGTATGCGAAAATTAATAATCGCTGTATCTTCTCTCATCTTCTAATCAAATTAAATTAATATTTATTTCTCTCTCTTTCTCTATGAAACAAATAATTAACATTTAATTTTAATATTTAATTTTAACTAATTAATATTTAATTTTAATATTTATTATTTTATACAATTGATAAATTTATAATGTTAATATCATAATATATTTATTTTAATATTTATGTAAATATATGTCTGTATGTAAGATTAATTAATAATTATGTCTGTGGAATTTGCAGACTTAGAAACTATCCCGACGTTGCGCGGGAAGAAGCTTATGTTGTCCGGTCTGTGGGGTCACGTCAGACATCCGAATTACTTAGGTGACATTATGATGCAGTGGTCCTTCGCGGGTGTCAGCTTGGCGACCGACGTTCTGCCTTATTACGCGGCTGTTTGTTGCACATTAACGTTGGCTTACCGAGCGGTGAGGGACAACCGACGTTGTCAGACACGCTACGGATACGCGTGGGAAGAGTATTGCTCGCGCGTCAAGTACATGATTTTAAAGTGCGTATTTTAAAGCGACCCAAAGGCGCGATATATACTTTTAAGCACCAAACTCCATATCATAAGGAGGACACTCGGCGAGATGCTCATTGTATCTTATAGGAATCTCAGATTGTATACTTGGTAATATTTTTACATTGTGAGAGATTAGTAGTGATAGTACTATATATTATAAATTTTACGACTGTCTATATATAAATTTTATGATCTATATCTATATAAGATTGGACTACGAATGAGATTGAAGACCAAGAGTATTTTGTTGACAACAAGATAAATTTCCCTAGTTTATATTTATAAAGTAATTCTCTACGGAAGACAATACAGAAGCGTATATGATATGTTACTGCATATTTCGACGAGATATAACGGAATGTTTATTATACTATATATGTATAGCATTTCTATTTTAATATAGACATAGGTTTTTAAAACACGTGCCTGTAATATCGAGCACTGGATATTGTGAAAATACAAATTAGCTAAGAAATTTTATACTTTTGTACATTAAATGTGTGTAAGTATATAATTATCACCTGGAATTACAAAAAAAGAACGATTTCTATCCCAAAAATATGGATTCTCAATCAAATATATTTTAGCACCCTTCTCCTTGCGTCGTGTATTCTAACCAGGGACCAGGATCGGAACCGAGATTTTATAAAGCCTAAACCGAAACCGGAACCGTTACATTTTTTCGGTTTGCGGTTCTTTTCGGTTCAATTTTTCGGTCCGTATTCTGTAATTATAAATAATCGTTTCTTTCATTTTATAATAAAATTCTAATTCTCATGAAAAAGCAGAACATTGATTAGTTATCGCAATAAATAGAAAATAAACTTCAAGCATACGATATTGAACAAAAGAGGATTAATAGAGGATTAATAGAAGAAGTAATATATTACAATTTTGGGATAAATAGAAAGACAATCATCCTGAATTGTACAAATTATTCTAACGGAACACCGAATATCGAGATATTCTCCGAATATTCTCAGAATTTATAATTTACATGTTCCGTTAGGAAGAGGTTACAAATAATGAAGATAATATTATATATCCAAAAAAGTTAAGAGCAAAAGAAATGTAATGGAAATAGTGAAGAAATGCCATCTACATCGAGGAAGTGATATTATTANCAATAAAAATTTCAGTAAGGAAACAAGTTTAAAAAACCGGTGCTGAAAAAAAATCTTAATTTAAATGGTTTACCGGTACTTTCATTGACCAGAAAACCGAATCTTTATTAAATATTCTAATGGACCGGAACCGGAATCGGACCGGCATTTTCATTCGATTCCCTGATTTTAATGTAACGATTCTGTAAATATGAAGAAGGATTAAAGGACGGGACGCGCGACTCAATTAATGGTAGTGTGACGCAATTTATGTTCGTATACACTTATTTTTTATTAAACCGCTCGTATATGTACATTTATATCTACTTGCTATAAAAACAATCTTCGATAAAGTGGGTCATTAAAAATGTGTCCGTTCAAGTCGTTCGTCTGTAATGCAATCTTTCTCAAACCGAAGTTTGCAATGTATCGTTACATGTAGAGTGAAAATTATCCTGCGATTTCGTTGATTGACATACACAATTTACTGTGTGAAATAATGAAAGCAAATTTCCACATCGTACATTTGCACATCTATTCGCGGTAAACACGCGGGTAATTGTTCGAATAATCGTACCTACATTCGCTATTTATATATCCATATTTATATTCCTTAAAATTACGATAATTAAAAATCGCCACCCCGCTAAAAGCTGCAAATTTACATTTCTGTGTGACGTTTTTTAAATATTTCATTGCGTGTTTTCTTCTCTCAAGAAAAATACCATTCGAATTTATACGTGAGATAAATTATATCCGCAAATTATTAAAAAAAAAGAAAGAAAGGATTGTAGAAATATATTCGCGCGATATGATGCATGCAAAGAACATTATCGTTTCCAATATTTTGTGTACGTTATCAGTGTAACTGTCTAAATTGTAATTTTTATGAATCGCACTTTATTGAGTGATAAACGCACATGAACCAATTGTGATTAACCCTTAGAAGCATGGTGGAGAGTACACTTCCCATTTTTTCTTTCAGATTTTTGTCAATAAAATTTTCGTTACAATATTTAGATTGTTTTTTTTCTAATATCTTAGGGATAGGTGAATGTAAAAAATCGCCAAAGTACACATTTTGTTAATTCCAAAGTGTTGCTAAATAATCAAATTAAGAAAAATGTTTGTTTTTCAAAGAAAATATATTTTCCAGCGACTTTTCCAAAATTTAGACGTATAACTTTTATATATTGGGTTTTTTGAGGTCGCTGATTACGAATCTGATATCAGAATTAGAAGATTTTCAAAATCAAAGATGGCTGTCCAATATGGCGAACCGAAATTGCAATAAATCAAGCAATTCTTTTCAAATGTGGTATACAGGAGGTTTTCGGGTCACTGATTATGAATCTGATATCAAAATTAGAAAATGTTCAAAATCCAAAATGGCGGTCTAATATGGCGGAATGAAATTATAGCAAATCAAGCAATTCTCTTCAAATATGGTACATAGAGGGTTTTCGGGTTGTTGATTACGAATCTGGTGTCGAAATTGAAAAATTACACAATGTTGAATACAAAATAGTAGATCAAACGTGCAAAAACTCAATGTTTATGGCTTTCAAAGCTTCCGAGTACAAATTATGAAATGCGATATTGCAAAAACGTATTAGAGGGATTGAAATGATTTAATCTGCAGCATAGACAAAATCTTGCTTATATAAATTTGAAGTGGTTCAGTTGATTCGTTACAATTTCGGTTCTCCATATTGGATCTGCCATCTTGGATTTAAAAATTTTTTCAATTTTGACCGTAGATTAGTGATCACCCGAGAAATCACCGCGTATCAAATTTTTTTTAAATTAACCGGAAGGAAAAATGTGTGCTTCAAAGGGTTCTTTGAATTCCGATAACATTGTTTCCTTCGACTATCGTATAAGCAGCGCTATTGAAATTTCGACAGACGGCAAATAAAACTTATAACGCGATCTGTTAGTTTATTGTTTTTGACATCCATCTTTCACGTCCACTTTGCAGAAAATCGTAAGCCTGACCGTTTAACGTAAATCGGTCGACGACAATAAATATAATCCAAGTCACAAATATAGAAGAAATAAGCTAAGCGATATTTTCCGCGAGAAGAATATCTTTCAATGATAGACTTAAGATTAATTTTGATTTTTAAAGCGTATCTTTTATAATACGCCGAAAAAATGTGAAGAAACTGATTTATCTTTGTAATAAAAGACATGACTTACAAGGGAGGAGCCTCAGTTGTTTCATCGTTTTCGACTCGAACTCTATGCGGAAATATTGTAGGTGAAGTCAATAACATATTATGCAAGTTACAAAGTCCCTGTTTTTACGTTAAAAATAAATGGCAGTATAATATAAGGTATTTTTCTCTAAAATACATTGTTTATGAAATATTCGACCGTTACTAGATTTTTCGGACACCCTGCATGCATTATTATACTGCCATTTTTTTTTTAACGCAAAGATAGGGGCTATAATTTGCAGAATGTGTTATTGACTTCGTCCACAACATTTCTGCATAGAGTTCGAATCGAAAACGATGAAACAGCTGAGGGCCTTTCTTTGTTAGATCACTTTTACTATTTCGGATGCGAGTATATGATCTTCCACGCACCGTGTCGGTTTGATTTTGCCGCGAACCATCCGAGGTGTGCCGCTTATTGACGTTTCTCCTGCGAGCAAATTATTATGCTTCGTTAGGAACGTATTGTCGCTCATCGTTTATCACGTCGTATATACTACGTGTATATTCTAATTATCGGAAAAAATCGCACGAATCAACGAAAAAAACCCAACGTGAACGCTGTCGTTTGGTATACAATACACATACACACGCATTCACACGCATACGACATGTCCATCTGTGTTAATTTCTATCGTTAAGTGTTTCGTGGCAGCTTTCGATTCAGTACTTTCATCACCTGTTAAAATACGTTCGGCGGACGCCTCTCTCGCCCCCGTGAAAAATATTCAACACCGTTCAACGGGTATCCCCCAATAAACACGTAATATTATCTAATATTAACACGTTGACTGCCAACTACGAGATATCTCGTAGGTTGTTTACTTGCCTAGGACGCCAACTACGAGTTATTTCGTCGCTTCATTACTTGATTAAATCAAATTGGCTTCTTAGACCAGAATCGTGAAAAGTTCCGTGGCAGTCAACGTGTTAAGTAATATTACGGGCATATTTTTAAAATATTAGACGTAATATTCTAGTAATATTATATAATATTAAATATTTTTGAAATATTAATAGATGATTATATGTCCACCACTGATAATATTAAAAAAATAATATTATTTAATGTTAATATACATTTTTTAAATATTCAATCCTATGTATGTACAGAGTAATTAATCTTGGTTCTCGTAGTGTGCAAGTAGAACAGGTGAAACTGAGCGGAAAAGTCCCATTTTGCAAATAACATGCAAAATTTCGAGTTATCGATGATTTAAAATGGCCACGCATTGAAGTTTCTTTAATTAATAACTAAAAAATTTACGTGTTATTTGCAAAATGGTAAAGAACTTTTTTGTTCAGAGTGGCCTAATCTACAAATACATGACAATTGTTGTACTTAACGACAGACATCAGTATATTGGACTTTGACCCTTGAACTTGTCGTTAGGTACAATAGTTGTATACTTATAGATTAGATTATTTGGGACAAGAAAGTCTGTCACCATTTTGCAAATAACACGTAAATTGTTGAGTTATTAATTAAAAAAGCCTCTATACATGACCATTTTCAATAATTGATATTCGAAATTTTGCGTGTCATTTACAAAATGGTATATAGGACTTTTTTGCTCAGTTTCGCCCGTTCTACTTGCACACACGGGAATTAAGATTAGTTTGGAACACCCTGTGTATATAATGTATGTAATTGTAGTCTTTTATTACAAATCTCAAATGTATTGCAATACCAATTGTTTCATTATATAAATAAAGTGGAAATAATTTTGTGTAAAAATATGTTTTATACTAAACAAAATTATACATATATATTTTTTTTTATCTATATATATTTTTCTATATTATTATTTTGTTTTTTAATATTCTAAAAACATTTTTATAATATACCATTATATATAATATTATATAATATATTTTTATAATATATAAGAATATTATGTGAAGTGGACATATAATATCAATGGAACATTCCTATAATATTTAAAAAATATTACATAACATTTTCATAATATTATAAGAATATTATTTTAATATTTAATAATATTCATATAATATTCTAGGAATATTACGCGTTTATAGGGTCATAGTTCTCGAAAACAAAGCGAGAGTACGCGAGGAAACCTCCCGAATCGATTGGTCCTCGGGGGCCCAAACTCGAGGCCAAGTGAAACATTGACACGGTCCGTTCAGAGGACGTAAAAGACCCAATACACGGCGTTGAACAGCATGAAGCTGACTGGGAAGATGATCCGTGAGTACTTGTCTATCACATTCACGTCCTTGATCTTTGGCATCGATACGCGCAGTACGGAAGCTCCTCTACGTATGGCGTGTAACACCTGTAAAACATAAATTGTAACTTGTAAATAACGAGTTGATGAGAAAATTCTTTCCGTTTATTTATCAGTTCTTTGCTCAGAAATATCGGAATTTCTACGAGATTGTGGGATTACGCAGCCACTGGAGAGGTGGTAGAGGTTATCGGACAAAACGGTATATATTTAATTGTTTGTATTTAAAATCTGTATAAAAATATATATTTTGACCATTTTTTACCTTCACCCATCCCGAAGATACTAGAAAAATATAAAGAAAAGAAAGCAGTCCGAATATAGCAATGAAAATTTTATCGGCAAAAATCTGAAAGGAGAAAAGGTGGGAAGTATACTTCCCACCGTGCTTCTAAGGGTTAAACATCATCTCGCTGCTCCGGACATTCTTTAGACGTCTTCAGCATTGTCGGTATTGTTGAGGAATACCTCGACATACCTTTGGCTTGTGCGATCTCGGGCCTCTGTATCTAAGACCGCTGTTTCGGGCGTGCGTATTGTAAGCGGCGGCCCTGGAGATGCGAAAGCTCGGCGGAAACTTGGCCGGATCGTGATCTCTTCCGGGCGTCGACGAGGCGCTGACCAGGCCCGACCTATTTCTTATGCTCGGTAACGGTGACATTCGGAGATCTTGCAGCTCTATGATATCTGCGTCCGTGGTGCCTGGAAAAGGTGAGCTGGCTTTGCTGCCTGAAAGAAAGAGGGACGAGAATCAGCGAGAGAATGAAGGGCGCGGAAGCTGCGCCGAGGTGGCGAATCGTTGCTCACCGGGTTTCGAGGTAAGCACCTTCCTCTCATCGATCTCCTTCTTCTTGCTCTTTTTCTTCGCCCGTGCGCCCCAATACGTGTAATTGACCGCCGCGTATTCCAGCAGGGCGGCGAATACGAACACGAAGCACATTACCAGGTAAATGTCGATGGCTTTCACGTAACTGATTCGTGGCAGTGAGCTTCTAACACCGGTCGATATTGTTGTCATCGTTAGCACCGTCGTGATTCCTGAAGAAAGAAAAAGAAATTAGCGCACGGGGAAAGAAATCTCAGTTTCTACAACTGAATGGACACCACATTCAAAGAACATTACATAGTCGTAGCAATTACAGGTGACAACTATATGAATTTTGTACGTATAATTAATGCATGTAGTTTAATAAACTACTTTATAGTTGTTGTTACTAAATCCGAACAGTATAGCCAGTGTTTGCCTTAGATGAAGACCAGTAATCATTGCTCACTCGTAGTCGACAATTTGATACGGGCATAAAGTAGATTGATCAATTGAAACAAATGATCTGTTCTTTTTAGTTGCACTGTTGAATTGGTGCAATAAGTTAAAGTGAGACAATATATTTTGTCTCGCTCTAACTTATTATATCAGTTCAACAGTGCAGCTAAAAAGAACGAATCAAATGAAATAAAACTGAAATTTGTTGATTCGTTTAAATCTAATCTTCAATCTCTAGTCTGATACGTCTTCAGATATTTTGTAGCCATTGAAATGACCCATACAATACCTGAAGATGAACTTAAGTCGACCTTAAATATAAGATCTGACTGTGAATACCGCCCTAAGTTTGAGCGAAACATTCACTCTTGTGGTCTTAAGTAGTAGAATTTTCACTTGTTTTCAGTGAGATTCTAAGAAATCTGGAGAGTAATCGGTGACGACGTGATTTCTAACAGAGCAATTTCTACTTTACGCTCTTACCGAGAGCCACCCTCGCACTGGTGGCCTCGTGATTGATCCAGAAACTGACCCAGCTGAGCATGACGATCAGTATACTCGGCAGATATGTCTGAAAAACGAAGTAACCGATGTTCCTCTGAAGCTTGAAGCTCAACGAGAGCCTCTGGTAAATGCCGGTCGCCAGCTTCTCCTTTCGATCATTGGTCTCATAACCGATTATCGTGAATTGCGGCAATTCTGCTTCCTCGACCCCGCGAACGGGAGTCTCCTTCCAGTACATTACTACGTCGAGCACCGTGTATCCGTCTGAACATGGAAAGTAACGTAATATAGAACGAACAAGTCAGCAGCCACGTTATAAAGAGTAACCGGAAGTCTAAACAATCGATTCTTTCGCTCATCGACAGTGATATCATTTCGTCTGTAATAACCGCAAAATCTCCAAACACAAATCTATCGCGAGGAGAAAAACATAATCAGTGTTTGCCTTAAATGATTTCAGATTCATCTAGATGAAGGTGAGATGAAAATGATTTTGTTTTTAATTTATCTAGACGAAAGCTAATTTTTAGGTAAGATTTCAGACATGTTTTTCTTTTATCTAAGATAAAGATGAATATATTTTGTATTCCTTCTACCTAGATAAAGATAAATATGATATATTTATTCATCTAGATGACTATTGAGATAATTTTATCTAGATTCTGGCAAACACTGCGTATATCTTTAATTACAGGAAATATCTTATACTTCGGAAAACGAGAAACTTTGCAGAAGCTATCTGTTCTCAAGTAATCGCTCGTAAATACGTATATCTGAACACGTACAGCTCTCGATCTCTACGGTGCAGTTCTGCGAGTCGAGGGGATAATAGTGCAGGTCCATCATGCAGGCCAAGGTTGTCGTAAATCTCATGCCGTACGTGACCGAGCCGTCGCCCGACAATCTAACGAGTTTGTTGCGCTCAGTGACGTCGTGCAGAAAGCTGTGAACAGGAAAATGAGTCCGATGCAATGGATACAGCATTTATAAGGGGGAGGAGGGGGGATGGAAAGAGAAATACGGAGGAGGAGGGGGAATTGCAGCGAGATAATCACTCAGGTATGTAATTTTTTAATTAAATCGCGCGATTAAGATAGTTTGCTTGTAAATTTATTCTCTCAGAAATCTTTCCAAATTTTTACAGTATATTTAATTGAAACACGATCTACACACATGTACAATTAGAAAAAGATCGATCATATCAAAGCTAAGATCATTGAAGCAAAAGCATGCTACATAGCACTTTTCACCCGATGAACGTCCTGTGGACGTCTTTAGGATATTGGGACGCCCTATACATCTTTAGAACGTCTCTTGGAGATGTGTGCTGTATTGGAATTAGCACTGTTTACATTCAGACAGCAGAAATTTAAAATAATGTAAAATATGCTTTAAAGACAAATCCAAATGACATCCCATTTTGAAATATCTTTTAGACGTCTTTAAAAGATTTTTTAGAAGTTTATATTGTTTGAAATTCCTATAAAGGCATAATATTATAAAATGTTAAAATATATTCTTATAATATTTTTGGCAAATTATAAAAATGTTCTTAGAATATTAAAAAAATAAAATAATAATAATAATATAGAAAATATATATAAAAAAAATATATAAATAAAATATACACATATATATCAACACCTCAAGTAGGATTTTGTATGTAGAATGACAGGTGGGATCGTCGTTGTGAGCAATTATAGAAAAACTTTAAAAATAGCTCATTGCAATTTGCAAATATATTAATGCATTAATGCATCAATGTATAATAATAAATATCAGTAATCGATTTTTTTCATATTATTATATAGAAAAGTATTAAGGTGATATTATCGAAAAGTGAATACTTCATATTTCATATCTTATATTAAAAGATATCAGGGTAAAATGTAAATTATCTCGAAAAGTATTTGCTTTTCAATTATCCTACCCCAGTATTTTTATATGCAGAATGAACAAAGAAATCGATTTGTACTAAAAAAACTGTATAATTACAATAATAAAAATAAAGTTAATCATGAAATGACCTTGAATTATTGACAATACCATGAAATCATCAAAATATATCTCTCTCCAAACCCTGAAACTTTTGTTTGACACATTTCTTTCTATTTTGCTTTATTTCTGTTATATGTGTATTCTGTTATTTCTATTATTAAAGTGCCGCAATTTAAATACCGTACCCTATATGCATACATATGTTTATGTACGCACATGACTTTGTACAATTAACTTTTAATTTCAATGAGTTAATTTAATTTTAATTTAACTTTTAATTAAGTTAATTTTGGTTAGATAATTTTTAACTTAACTCAGCCAAAATAAAAAAACTTAACTTATCCAACCCAGCAGTTGGACATTTGTTTGTGAAATTTTTTATCGTTTTTATCACATATTGCAAGGCTTCAATTCTTTTTCGCACGCACTTTCACTGTATCAAACTATTTATATAATTCTGTGCAGCCAACACAACGTAAACTTTACAGAAAGAAGTCGATATTTTGCAAAGTTTTCAAGTATCCCTATAATATATTTATCGCGCTGTTTGTCACCTGTTCTTGTCGTTCGCAAAGAACGTATCCGGCACCCAGATCTTTTCTGCGAAGTCGCCGCTCAGCGTCAGGATCTCATCCTCGTGTGAGAAGGCAAGTCTCTCATCCTTCCAGTATTGATTCAAGTACATCGTTATCGTGTAATCCTAAGATTCAAATCGCAATTTAATATTCAAGAAAGCGTTACTAATTATTTATTATAATTATTATAACATTTATAAATTAATTACAATTCATCGCGCGAAATTGTATACGACGAGATTGTTTCATTCGTAATTTCATTCGTAATCGTTGGATTTTTCACAATAATTTCTAAGACTGCATTTTCACGTTCTGCTCTAACATGTAGCGACATTTTCGAGAAGAAAATAAAATGTCACACGCGATCGACAGAGCGCGATGTTTAGTGCGCGAGAGAAAAAGAGGAAACTTCCATATAAGCACGTAATATTCTTCGAATATTATATGAATATTATTCAATATTAAAATAATATTCTTATAATATTCTAAGAATGTTATGTAATATTTTTTTAATATTATAGGAATGTTCCATTGATATTATATGTCCACTTCACATAATTGGCATATTACAAAAATATTCTTGGAATATTGAAGAAAATAAAATAATAATATCAAAAAATATATATAAATAAAAATATGTGTGTGTGTGTGTGTGTGTGTTGTGTATGTATGAAATTTTTTAATATAAAACGTATTTTTATACAAAATTCTCTCGACTTTATTTATATAATAAAACAATTGATATTGTAATACATTTGAAAAAACTACAATTATATATATTATATATGTGCATAGAGTTGAATATTTAAAATATATATAATATTACAATGACATTAAATAATATTATTTTCTAAATATTATCAGGGATGGACATATAACGGTGTGTTAATATTCTAGAAATATAACTTCATATTATTAGAATATTATTATATTATATTATATTATAATATTATTAGAATATTATGTTTAATATTCTAAGAATATGCCCAGAGTATTAAATAATATTACGCGCTTATAGGGTTATAAGGTTTAGTGTACATCAAATGAATCGATCAGTAGAGCGCGCGGTTTATTGGCGCCCCGGAGGCAGAAATCGATTTAGTAGTGACGTCGAAGACGTTATAAGCGTTGGCAAGGAGAACGTGCTCTCCGTATCTCAAAGATCATGCATGTAATATCGCGATAGCAACATCCGATGCAGGACGCGCGCATATTTTAACTTACATGTGCGCCATAGAAGAGGCATATTCATTCTTACGCGGATCTCCTTATTTAACTCACGTATCTTGGCTTACTCACCATATTGACTTCTGAAATTGCATCGAAACTCGCGATGGTGAGGTCCATTCCGACCAACAACGGATCACCTTCGATGGAACACGATCCGTCATTAATTCCGTCGAATATCTTTCTAGCGAACGTTCTTGCGAATTAAAGTGCGAAGAAAAGAAAAAGGACAGAACAACTTTTAAAATTTCCCCGCTTTTCGAGCTGTTCGCGATGGAGATCCGTTAAAACGGAAGAGAAATAGTTTAAAGCTGCTTAATCCATTGATAATATCGGGGCGAATTATTTCCCCTTCGTTGCACATTCAATTAAAAGCGATCTAATTGCGATCGTGCCTCGTTGTATGGCGTGGAAACTTCATTAAAAGCTGCTATAGAGAGAGAGAGAGAGAGAGAGAAATAGAGGAGGGGAAATGGGTGGTGAGGGGAAGGGAGGGACGGAAGAGAAAGAAAGAGAAAAGAGAATCGGCGGTGGGAAATGTGGCATTCTATCATTGATCAAGTGAACAACTTCATTCTGGTACCCGGCTCTATTAATTAATATAGTTCTAATATTTCATTAAAATATCTCGAGCCCTTGAGGGTTTTTTTGCAAAAGAGAGAGAGAGAGAAAGAGAGAGAGAGAGAGAGAGAGAGAAAGCACACACTTAATCTTAGCCAGAAGGGATTTAACGGTACACGCTTAAGGAGCGACTTAAGTGCGGAGCTTACCGCCGAAGTTCGGCCTTAATCGAATATCGTAACCGTCGAGTATCCTCGAAATTGTCTGCGTAACGTTCTCCAGTCTATCGGACATCCCGGTGTTCTCTGGGGAAGCCCTGCGAAGTGCGAAATGTTGAAATGCGGAAATTGTCGATGTTCGAAAGCGCTAAAATATCATATGCTGCTGAAGCAATCGAGTGAACATTATTAATCAAAGTAGATGAAATCGACTGTTTGACGCGTCGCTATTTTTCCTTAAAGTACGCAAATTCGAGACTTTAGTACCTTCGACGCTCATTGCTTTCTAAAAAATGTCTCGACGAGAAGAGAAAAATTCTTCAAATCTTGTTCTCTCCGCAATAATGCAATATGCATAGCGAAGCGAAATTTGTGGTTACATTTTAATCTGACTAACTCGTAACGGAAACGCGCGTATTAGCGAGCCGAAGAACGAAAAGATGAGCGGAAATCGACGAGGAATCATGCGTGAAGCAGAGATAATGTCACGCATCGCACAATTACTCCCACTGATTAATTCTGCCAGCGTCCGGCCTCGTCCATAGCGATCTTACTCACGGTCAGTGTTTGCCGATATCTAGATAAAATTATATAAATAATCATTTAGATGAATAAATAGATCATCTTTATCTTTATTTAGGTGGAAGAAATATAAAATATATTCATCTTCATCTTAGACAAAAAAAACATGTCATCTCATCTAAAAATTATCTGAAATAATGTTATGGTCCATATTCTGAACTCACTTTTCGATAAAATGAATGAAATAATATGGACCTATGTATTAAGCCCGTATCAGACTAGGATTGGAGATTAGATTTCAACAAATCAACAAAGCTCGGCTTTGTCTCCTTTGATCTGTTCTTTTTAGCTGCACTGCAGAAATGATGTAATAAGTTAGAGCGAGACAAAATATAATGTCTCACTCTAACTTATTGCACCAATTCATCTAAAAAGAACAGACCATTTGTTTCAATTGATCAATCTACTTTAAGTCCGTATTAAACTACCGACCGTGGATGAATAGTCGATGATTATTAGTCTTTTTTGTTAGATTCTTAAATATAGAGCGATTATGTTGACGAATTACTAAACCGTTATGCAATTTTATTGATTTGCGTAATTTTTATTATACTTTTGTATAAAGTCCCTCGTGAAAACAATATCATCTAAAAAATTATCTGGATAAGTAGCTACTTATCTTTCATCTTGATAAATAAAAAACAAAATCATTTTTATTTTATCTGAAATGAATTTTTCGGATTTTCATCTCATCTTCATCTAGATGAATCTGAAATCATCTAAGGCAAACATTGCTCATAGTCATGATATATTTAATCGTCGCGAGGAGATAACGGATCACGCGCACCGGTCTGTGAATCTCCGAATGTAATCTTGCTTCGGGATTGGATTATCAGATTCGCCTTTCGCCCCGGAAATGGAGCTTTGTTGCGTCTTCGTGTGTACAGTGGCTTGATTAGAACTTTGATTGCCCCTACAATCACCCGCGTCGTACTTTGAGCTTAATATATAGGTATGTGATTATTTCCTCACCATATTTGATCGTGACGGTGAAAACAGTGGAATAGAAGCAAATAAATTAATTTCTATCTTTTACCATAATCTTTTACCATAGTGCTAACAAATGTCTGAGAAACATTTTTTTTTCTTTGGATCTTCGTTCGTAAAACGAGTCACGGTTTAATCATTTAATTCGGACGAAGTTTCGACATGTCACGCTTTCGAACGCTGCAATCGTCGGTTTTGAAACGTATCAGAAATTTATCAGAAATGCATTTAGGGGTAGAATCATTTCGCACATGTATACCCGAGTTGAAATTTTGACGTTTACTTTGATATTCTCAAGAATAGTTTGCGTCTATTTAGATGGACTATAGACTGATAAATAGACTGATAGACTGATAAATATCTGTTTTGACGATATCGACATACGAGGTCTGTTCAAAAAGTATCGCGAATTTTGAATTTCCGCGAG